TCTTTCACTGGACTATGAATTCTAACAAATGAGATAGATTTTTTTCAGGTATGGAGACTTCGATATGCTATAGTAACTAGGCAGCATCAACTAACATTTTGGATATATACTCTACACCCTTTATCAATGTAACGTTTTATTTTTTTTTCACTGTCATGTGAAATGCAATATGAATAAAGCCCCACCCAAGTTTCACATTTGTGGGGAAACTGGAGATTACTGGAGATTAGTGCCAGGAAGGAGAAATGACCCTTCACAGGGAAACTGGCATATTTAAGTGTGAGTGGTTAGTTTTTTACAGATGCTTTCTATAGAAATTACTAATATATTAAATCTGAAAGAATTGGAAAGTGCTTCCTAGAGGTGTGGGAATATAGTTTATAAATTTTGACATTTATAATTTATAAATTTTAGCATTTACTTATACAAATATCTTAATAAAGTTTCAGCATTTCAGCATTCAGCATGGAATCCCTTCTTTATTTTCTCTCATGCCAGGTCTCTTATTTCTCCAAGCCTCCATCAGTTGTGTCCTATTTGATTGCCTCTCTTTGTATTCCTAGAGCACTTTGTTCTTGTTGCTGATAATAGGTTTTTATTTGTTGGCTAATAATCTCCTTACATTTTATAAGTCCCAGTTGAGTCTGTGCTTCTCAGTAGCATGGACTACCCTTTTCATTTTCAGCCCAGCATCTCACATGATGGCTGAACATGTTGGGTACACATACTATCAAATGAGTAATTGATATTACTAATACATATAATTATGTTATTTGTACATCCTGTCTCTTTCAAAAATGTCTTTAAGATGGATTCTTAAAGGAAAATTGAAAGAAGAAAGGTGGAGGATGGGGGCTAAAATGGCCAACATAAGCAAATTCATACCATGAATCTATAAGAATTGGCAGTATGTGTATAAAAACATCAATATGTACAAGCAAGCAAATATGTAGAAATTATGTAGTGTACATTTTAAAATCTGTCCTATCTCATTATTTTATCTTTTATAATTTGACTTAGAAAAGATTTCTGTTTCCTTTTTGTTTCTTAAGTTGTACATTTTCATCAATACTGTATATATATTGTGCTTCAGGATTTCTCTGTAGAGTGCACCTTAGTGCAAAAATTTGAATCTTATTAGCATTTGGTGAAATAGAATGGGCTCAATTTCACTGCTGTTAACATAGAAAGCTACAAAGTGACCATATATTGTGCTGTTCAACTCTTGAAAACTTATGCTCTGACTTCTGTTTACTGGGTCTTTCAAAAAGCTCATAGCCATGGATTAGGGATACTACTATGCTAATTTGAAATAAAGACCTTTACTTTAAAATTAATGTAACTACAACATGCCTGTGAATTTTATCTAGCTTTAAGATGGCTTCTCAAAGAAAAATTGAAAGAAGAAAGGTGGAGGATGGGGGCTAAAATGGCCAACGTAAGCAAATTCATACGATGAATCTATAAGTGAATTGAGAGTATGACTTGTTTACCAAGTTTAAATAAATAAATAACATATTGAAACATATTATATTATTTTCCTGCTCTCAGGATTAAACTGATGCAAATTAAGTACAGATTTTTTTTTCAGTTGTTAAAATAAGACTCTCTTTTCTATTTTTTAATTGAGTTTATTGGTACATTTCAGGCATACAGTACAGTTACATTCATTATTGGGATCTTGTACCTTTACATGACAGTTCTTGGTTCTCATTTTTTCCCCATACCCCTGCCCTCCCTTCACCCCCTCCTCCCCTCCCCGTTTACAATCACTTTATTTCCATTTTTTCATTTTCTCATATTTTTTTCTTTTCCCTTATTACCTTTCCCCTACCCTTCTCACTTTCCCTACACCTGTAGCCCTCTGGTTTGAAAAACTATAATAGTACATAAGATCCTAATGAGATAATTGACAATGCGAAATAAGAAGAAAAAGAATGTAAGACTCTCTCTTGATTTAATTCTCTACATGATAGTTTTAAAATAGAGAATAAAGCATTTTTTGTTATGTTGTTCCTTAATTGTTAAAATAATGACAGCATAAAAAATGACAGCTTATTTTTCTTGGTAATTTCTTTAAGACAACAAAGCAGTCATTCATTGGCAACATTTCAAAGACAGTGGGCTAAGATAACAACCCTTTTCTTTGGGAGTGACAGCCCTTAGAGTCCTGTGTTCCAGGGATTTGTTAATCACCAGCTGCCATCTGATTTATAAGGAAAGCCTGGGCTTTTGAGTGGTAGCCACTTACTTCATAAGCAAGACAAAATGTGAACTACTTTCAGAGCTTATCCACTGACTTAGATCTTGCTGTCAGAGCACTTGATCCTGGCAGAGAACCTGTCTGCTATTTTTGATCACATATTATCAACATTGTTCTTTACCTTCACATTGGTTAACTACTAAGTAGAATATATCTTGAGTTGTCTGGCTCCCTGTTCATCTATTTATCCATCTGTGTGTCTGTCCATCCATCCATCCATTCATCCATTCATCCAACACTAGGTTTAGAGTGGAGTAGAATTAGTCTTCAAAAGTACTTTTTACATTTGGGGCTAGCAGATAGTAAATATTTTAGTTTTGTAGGCCATTTTGTGTCAGGTCCAACTACTCAGCTTTGCTATAGTAAGAGAAAACAGTGATAGGCAATATAGAAGTAAATGGTATGGCTGTGATTCAAGGAAATGTTGTTTTCAAAAGAATTGACTTGTAAATTGTGGCTTAATATAAGAATTTAACTCAACATAGTTTGTGTGCTACACAAAAACTTTTAAAAATATTTGAATAGTTATGAATATTCAACCACTGCTTATGTCTTAGGTTTGTTGGCTTATTATTTACCTTCAAGAGTTGTCTACAAAAGATTATATCATTTTTGGTTTTTATTTAAACATGTTGGCCATTTAAATACTATGCCATTTTCTCTGGTAATGGTTATTAATGTTTTTGGTTTACTCTATGGCCATATCACCCTGAATGCACCTGATCTGATCAGATGTTACTGGTGTGGACACACACACACACACACACACACACACACACACAGAGTGAAATTCCTTGGTATGCAACTGATAGCACTGTTAGATTTAGTAGTTTTTACTTAGGGGTTAAAAAACTATATTTCAACATGGAAACATGGCCAAATTGTTAAATGAAAAAAAAAGTTGAATTTATAAAGGCTATAAGTAGTGTGTACACTGTGATTCTATTTATAAAAAAGATACAGAAGGATAGGCCTATGTATGTGTATATCTATATCATCTCTATCTATCTATCTATCTATCTATCTATCTATCTATCTATCCATCCATCCATCCATCTATCCATCCATCTATCCATCTGTGTCTACTTGCATATTGTAAATATCTGGAAGCATATACCATCAGTCAGAGTTCTTAGTTTTCAAGCAAATGAAATCAACTGAGCTCAATATTAGCAGAAAATATTTATTGAAGGATAATAAATAGCTCAAAAGATCTTTGGGGTGCCTGAGAGTCAGGCTCAGAGCAATGTTCAAAAATCACTGGTCCTGCAAACATGCCCCAGTTGCTGCCAGTGGGCACTGCACTGCAGTTTGAGTCATTGATACCACTGGGCCTGCATTCTGGGTTTTCCACCATCATTTCTAGTATTTTGGAGTGGATTCTGGACCATTGCTGCTCTTTCATGTCATGAGCTTCCAGATCTAGGTGCATTTGATTGACAGCTTGTTCGTTTGACTTGGACACAAGGGAAGTTTAGAATGCAAGTATGTGGAACTCACTTCTATAGTGAACAAAGGACCCTGCCTCCTAAGATGGGAGTTTTGCCAAATACAGGAAGAAGATTTGGAAGCTTGACTGAAGGAGTGAAAGCAGTGCCTTCTAGATTCTCAGGAAATTGTTAGAATTAATTATTTCTGCACAGTGAAGTTGGAAGGAATGGGAAGCAAAAGGGGGCTTTTGCTTCCATTTTACTCTGGTATACTCTGTTAAAAAGAAAATAATATAATAAAGGGACTGTCAGGAAAATAAAGGAGAGAGACAATTTTACTCAGCTCTTGTGCTATTCTATTTCTCTCAGAAGAACTGAAGAATGTTTCCCAAGCTGGGCAGTTTCATCAACTTCCTACTCAATTTCATTTAAAATTTTCTTTATAATTTCACTCCAGGTTAATTCAGTCCTTTATTGAATGTACTTGGTTGCACAGCAAGATATAAAATGGTTTTCTTTGGTATACCACTGGTTTGTTCTTTCTGGCTTGGTTGAGTTGATTCAGTTTATCTTTTTGAGGTCTATTGTAGGTGGCTTTAAAAATGAAGGTGTTTCAGCTGTTACAGTTGATTAAATGTTCATAAATGCATGCATGGTGCAAAAGTAAAATATACATAAAAATTTGGTCCTACCCTGTTTTTTTGTTTTGTGTTTTGTTTTTTGCTTTTTCCCTCGGTACCAGGGATTGAAATCAGGACCTTGTGTTTGCAAGGCAGGTGTGGTGACACTGAGCTAAATCCCCGGCCCCTCTCCCCTGTTTTTTAAGCCACTGTCTAATTGCTACTTGATAGAAAATTGCTCTCAAAACTTAATTCATTTCAGATAATGTTTTAGCACTATATTAACAATGTTTTAACTTTAAAAAATGGTTTTAAATTTACAAAATATAGATATTATAGAGAATTCCCATATATGATACATACACTTTCTCCTATTATTAATGTCTTACATAAGTGTGGTACAACTGGTACAGTTAATAAGCCGTTACTGAGACATTGTTATTGACTAAAGCCCATACTTTATTAAAATGTCCTTACTTTCTAATGACTTTTTTCTGTTCAGAATAGCTGATATATTTTATACAAATATATTGTATTTGTTCACCTGAGTAGATAGTAGTATCTTACAGCCATATAGTGCTATTTCTAATTTAAATAACTTAGAAAAGAGAAAATAAAGATAAAGCTTTGTCACAAGAAGCTTCTTAAATATTAACCTTTTATTTTTCTCCCTGATTCTGTATTTAGTGGAACAGGTTCCTGTAGAACCATACAATATTCCACTGTCACAGGCCGAAGTCATACAGGAAGGGAGTGATATTACTCTAGTTGCCTGGGGCACTCAGGTTAGTAATGGTGATCCCAACTCTTAAAGCCTATGTTGTGCTTGAAAGTTCTCATTTTTAATCCTAATACGTGGAAAATTGAAAATGGGATTTTTTTCTTTATGTCTTAGATTAAGTGTGTTTGGTACTGCTGATGCTAATTTCTTTTTTTTTTCCTTAATTTTATTGAGGTATAACTAACAGAATTACATCTGAGGTGTACAAATATATTCAAGATATTCAAAGTGATAATGTGATATAATATACATTGTAAAATGATTAGAGTCAATTTAATGACACATTTGTTACATAGTTACCATTTTGTGTGTATGTACATGTGTGTAGTGAGGACACTTAAGATGTACTCTCAAACAGTAAATTTCAAGTACATGATATGTTTTTATTAGCTGTAGTCTGTTCTCAGAATTTACTTATGTTAAAGTTTGTGGTACTGATTTGAGTGAAAGTGATGTGCCTATTCTGGAATACTAAAATATATAAGCCTATGACCAAATATGCTGAAAGTTAAACAACAGTATTGATTTCAGACATCTTTGATGCATATTACATATCCATCTTCTGATTGGTGCACTTGACTTAGGATCCTTTTCCTTCCATTTCCTGTCATCTCTTGTGAGTACTTTGCTGGCCATAGGGACTCCTCCAGTGCTCCAACCTCAGAATTCCATCCTTTTCTCTTTTCCAGGAACCTTCTTCACTGATCTAGCTCAGCTTTTCCTATGTCTTGTCACATTTCTCTACCTCTAAACTTTAAGCTTTAGACTCTTTTTCTCTTGCCATAGATGGATTCATATTCTCTCTCTCTCTCTCTCTCTCTCTCTGTGTCAGAAATGGTCAACTTTTTTCTCTATATAAGATGTATTTTATTTTAGGAATCAAGGGCAGCATAGTGTGCACTTATTTTAGAAAATTAAATATAAAGGTGATTACAGAACTTTTTACGGTGTCCCAAGCTCCTACTTTCTCTGCTCTGGCATGGAGAGCAACAATTCTTCAGGTTCTCATTTGCAGTAGGGTCACCTTGCTACATGGTGAGTCACATCCCACTGAAGGTGCCCATGGTGGTGTAGTGAATCATTTTGTCCTTCACTTCTTTTATCCACATCCCTGTCTCCTTGCCTCTCTTCTATGTAGCAAACTGAGAGTGTGTTGTTAGGTCCTAGCTCCCATACCTTGCTTTTTTGTAACCCTCATCACTTTGGTACTAATCCTTGCCATCTTCCTTTCGTTTTGGTACTGGGGATCGAACTCAGGACCTTGTGCTTGCAAGGCAGTTGTGGTGCCACTGAGCTAAATCCCCGGGCTGCCTTCTCCCTTTTATATTTGAAGAAAAGGTCTTTTCCTTTTGTAGCTGGCCTCAGTGTCAGACTGTATCCCATTTCCCCTTCTCTAGGACTCTGATACACATGCTGACTCCTCACCTTCCTGCCTCTTTAGGTTTTCCTTTCTATGTTGCTTCATTAAAAAGTTGTGTATCTTATCTTCATATTTTAAGGTTGCCTTTCCCTTTAAATATGTCCTCCTCTTTTATCATGAAACCTATTAAATTGGCTATTTTGTGGTATTGGGGATCAAACTCAGCACCTTATGTATTTTAGGCAAGCACTGTACCACTGAGCTACATCCCAAGCTCCCCTTCTTCTTCCCATTTTTTATTTTTAATTGTATTTTATCTACTCTATTTTATTGTTTTGTATTTACTCTATTTTAATACATTTTATTAATGCCAATTAATTTTTCAGTGTAGTAATTTGTACATGCATATAACGTATCGAGATCATATCCATCCACTCTGTTATCTTCCTTTACACCCCCTATTACCTTCCTCTTGTTGAATATTCATCTCCTTTCTAATTTTATGCCATATTTATCTACAACGTATTAGGGAAAACATGATACTTATCTTTCTGAGTCTAGTTTATTCCACTTACTATAATGATCTCTAATTCCATCTATTTTCCTATGATGTAATTTTGTTTTTTATGGTTGGATAATCCTCTATTTTAGATAGATACCCACATATTCTTTGTCCATTCATCTGTTTTTGGTTACCTAGGCTGGTTCCATAGCTTGGCTCTTCTAAATTTTACCACAGTAAAAAGAGTATGCAAATATCCCTGTAGTGCTGACTTTAATCCCAAGAAATGGTCTAGCTGAGTCATATGATATATCTATTGGTTTTTTTTCCACATTTTTTCTTTATTGGTACATTTTAGGTATACAGTACAGTTACATTCATCATTGGGATCTTGTACCTTTCTATGACAGGTCTTGGTTCTTATGTTTACCCCTTCCCCTGTCCTCCCTTCACCCTCTATTTGGTTTCTTGAGGAACTTCTGTACTGATTTGCATAGTCCCAGCCCCTTTTTAAAATTTTTTGAAATAAGGTCTCCCTCAGTTGCCCAGACTGGCCAACTTGTGATCTTCAGAGTAGCTGGGATTATAGGCATATGCTACCATGCCTGTAATTATCATTAAACTCGGAGGGCTATATTACACTATTTGTATTTAATGACTTAATTTCTTTATATTCCTGTACCTTATGACCTTTGTATCCATTAATGTACTAAACCTGCTTAAAGTAATCTAATATTATAATTGTTAAATGTAGACCTTATCCCATAGTGCTATTTTATGTGACTTTGGCTGCTATCTTTATGAAATGGATGTTTTCTTTAGCTTCTGGGATATTCTGTCTCCTGTTTTTTTATTTTTTCCTTATCTCTTCAGCTATCATTTTTTGTTGTTGTTGTTTTACTTTCAGTGAGCTTCCTTTACAGCTGTTTTTCTACTAAATTTTGGTGATCCATAAGATTCCATGATGTTTACCCTATATTTCTTCCTCTGTATGATTTCCTTACAAACTACTTACAACTTTATTTACCTACTGTGGGCTATATCAGAATCTCTAGCACCTACTGCTTTCTTTTTCTATAAGAATCTCTGTTTTTTAGACATTTATATTTGATTGTGTTGGCAGAATATACATTTAACATGTCTAAACTTTGTGAATTCTTCATTCAGATTTATTTCATTGACTATAAACAATCCTCTGTTAATAATGATGTCAGCATTCAACTAGATTTTTAGGCCTGAGTCTTTCTAGCCAATCTCTGAATATTTTTCTCTTCTTAGGTTCACGTCATCAGGGAAGTTGCTTCAATGGCAAGAGAGAAGCTTGGAGTGTCTTGTGAAATCATCGATCTAAGGACTATAATACCTTGGGATGTGGATACAGTTTGCAAGGTATAAATAGAATATTGAAAGAATGTTATTTCCTCAAGACCTTGGGCCAAATTTGTTAGATATTTGCACAGATTTGTTTTGAAACTGTGAGCTACATGAGCATTCCCAATTGATTTAAAACTTTGAAATGTACCGTGTGAAAGGAATGGGCAGTGTATAATCTGCTTAATGTTTAAGGAGTAAAATCACTTCACAGTTTCTTTGTTCTCCCATATTTTTCTGTGTTTCAGATATTACAAAACTGTGCCTTTCATGCCGGCAGCTATATTGAGCTCTGTGAGTAATGAGGTAGTGCAAATAAAGGAGCATATCAGGGATATTAAAGTCACCTGTGTTTTTAACTTCTTATTGGTTATGGTTCAGTAAGTTAGATTTAATTTAGTTAAATGAATGGTTTGGCTGAATTTTCTTTCATCTCTCCACAAATGAGGACAGATTATTCTTTAAAGTATAGCCTCCTTTTCACAGCCTCACTCTTGTAGATCACACAGTATTGTGTTGTGGGATTCTGGCTGCTCTTGATTGTTAACTTCTAAGTTGCCTCTTGATCTTTGTCCTGATTAGATTGATATCATTCTTACTATTAATAGGATTCTCATAATACTCTTTCAAAAATAGAGTTTAGTTCTTATAGACTTACCTATAACATATCTTTCATATTAATGGCTAGATAATTTAAAGAGCATCTGTTCTCATATTGGTACATAATAAAGATTAAACTCCATTTTTATGATGGTCTTATCTACTAAAGTCCGAGTAATGATTGCATATACTGTATTTTTATATGGATTTACTGTTGTAGCAGATCAGATCAGTCCTAGAATATTAAGATTTTTTATTTTTTAGTTTTTACAGGCTATTTATTAGGTTATGTGAAAATAATCAGTAGATACTACTGTTATGAAAGTATAACAGAAAGTTTTTATGGGAAGATTTGTATAATTTAGTAGAACATCGAGGACTTCTTATAGTGAATGTTTTGTAGATTCACTTAACAACATCAAAACACTTGATATGGTTACAGATGTTTTCAACAAAATCCTACGCCATTATTTTTGTAGTTACCATAAGTAAGAGCAGTAATTCATATTGAATTATTTATAACTGCAAAATAATTGAATGCCTTTTGTAGGAATTTTAAAAGCAAACCAGACAATGAGTTTTTTTTTTTAACCAAATAGCCTGGTGTGGCAAATTATGGTTCAACTCAGCTGACTTGCAGCTTGGATTTCCTGCTTGAGTTTGTATTTTTAGTTTGGATGGTACTTTTGCATGGGGATATCATGCTATTTCATAGCATGGTGGGTGTTCTGATATGTAGTTACGGCAAGCACTTTTAGAAGTTTATTTACATATTTATCTTTACATTTAAAAAACATTTCTAGCAGCTTGCAATAAAACACAAATATAACAGCACCTCAGATTGTTAACTATGAAAGTAAAGGGAGGAGGGGTAGGAGAAGAGGAAGGGGAAAATTATTTATATTCATTTCTATATCAGTTTGCTGTTGCCCTCCTTTATCAGCTGTACTGGTTACATCTTTGTATGGTCCTGGAATGTAGATCCAGCGTCCTGAGAGCTCTGTGCTATGAGGAAAGACTAAAGAGGAGTGTAGAGCCCTCTGCAGAATGGGAGAGTGATGTATCACATCCTGACTTGTTATCATCCATTGTTTAGTTTTGTGTTAGGATGCTTTCATCATGCTATTTTTCTAGTTTAATGACCTTTCCGCTGTGACAGTGAAAGCCAGCTAGCATGTCATTTCTTGATTACTTCGGGTCTCTTAGTGACTTTCCTTATTGCTGATAGGGGCCCATCTTGTTATATTTCATGTATCAAAGGAGAAAAAATTTACTACTTAGGTTTTTCACTAGTATTTAGAGATGATGTGAGAGAAAAAGAGTCTATAAACATTCCTATTAAAAATGAAAGCTTCTTTCTTTTGGGGATCTACAGTTTAGCTTTTCTTCTTTTTCTTTATGAATTTTATAATAATTAAACTTTATGTTTATAATCTCAGTTGGATGTGTTTTATCAGTTGCTTTTGTCTTAGGACAAAATTGAATGTCTTAGTTTTATTTATTATGTGTTCACACCAATATGCATCTTTTGGAATGCCTAATCAAAAAAAGCCTATTAAAGTTAAAATTACTTATTAAATATATATATTAGCAAACTATATACAGTGGAATGACTCTAGAAGAGGTGAGGGATTCATACCTTTTGCTTAGTTTTGATGCATTGTATGGGGGCTGAGAAAGCAGCAGAGGTTTTGAATATTGCCCTGGGAAGTTACAACACTGGAAATGTGTCAAACAAACTTTGTAAAACCAACAAAAAAAGTATACCTGATGATAAGAACTCACTTTCTGCTATTCTAGGATTACTGTTGAACTATAGCATTTTTATTAGTTTATAGTCAATGATGCATGTTACAATCCCCACTGTTACAACTGAAATACAGTGAAAGATGCATATCTGGAAGTTAATAGGAGAACCATAAATTCATAAAAATAATTTATTCAGAAGAAAACAAATGTACAAAAATAGGTGAGTCGATAGAAAATAAATAGCAAGGTGATAAATGCAAACTCAAAAATACAAGTAATTAAATTACAAATGGATTAAATAACCTATTGATTATTTTGATAATGAGTAAAGCACTTGCTAAATTTAATATTCATTAATGGTGAGAATTTTCTTAGGAAATCAGAAGTGAAGGTGAGTTGTCTTATTCTGATTAAGTGTAGCCATAGAACACCTGCAGCAGACATTTTTATTCTCTAATGAAAATTTGACAGCTTACTCTTTGACATGAATATCTGAGGGGAGATTTAGTGACATATATGTCAGAACATCGCACAGAACATTACAAACTATTCAGGAAAGTTAAGACTCAAATAAATGAAAGCATATAGAGGTTGAGTATTCATCCAAAATACCTGGAATCAGAAGGGTTTCAGATTCCAGAGTTTTTGCATTTTAGAATATTTGCACAGTCTTACCAGTTGGCCTTAATCTTGATGCTCAAAAACTTTGGGGTTTTAGAACATTTCAAATTTCAGTTTTTCAGATTAGGGATATTCCGCCTTATACTGTGACAATTCAAGGCTAAAAGTAGTCAAGGCAACCTTGAAGAAAAGCAAATTTAGAGCATCTAATTACCGAATGTCAAGGTGTGCTATAGGGCTGTGGTAATGACAGTACTGCATTGGTATAAAGACAGAAACATGCACCAGTGAGATAGGAGAGAGTCCAGAAACTGACCTGCTGGATTTGGGACAAAAGTGGTATTGCAATTCAGAGAGAAAGAAGTTGTTTTCAGTAAACAATATTGATTCACTTCGATACAGGGAAAAATAATTATCTTATGCTTTATCACTCAACTTTCAATTACAAATGCAGATCTGATTTTTGAAAGAAAAAATCATAAAGCTCTTGGAAAAAAGCATAGGTGAATGTCTTTATGATTTTGCATACTAACAAAATATTAACAAAAGGATGATCACTTTTTGCTTCATTAAATCTAAGAAAATTCTTTAAGAAAATTTAAATATGCACCAGCAAAGAGAGTAGAAGACCCACGGATTTGGAAAAGCTAAGGGAAATTTATGTCCAAAACTATAAAGTACTTTTAAAATCAAATAGAAAAGACAGACATCCTACTAGAAAGATGGGCAGAACTCTTGAGAATTGCTTAATTTCTAAATTTAAAAATACTCCAAATACTAAGTGTTGGCAAGAGTGTGAAGCAACTCACTTTTCCTATGCTATGGTACAGTCAATTTGGAAAATTGTCAGTGTCCATTTGAACCCTGTAATTTGTCTATATAAAGTCTATGCACATATTCCAAAATCCAAAACAATTTTAAAATCTGAGACACTTCTCCTTCCCATTGTATTGGGTAAAGAATGTTCAGTCTGCATACTGTGCCATTCATTAACTTGGGAAGAGCTTTGGCATGCTTTATCCGGGGCAATGTTTTCTTTGTCAGGCAGTTCTGTCCACAAGCCTTTTCTCTTTACAGCCCACTCCCCTGCCACTCTGATAGGAAACACGTGCTCAGACGTGTAGCCATTCTTTCCCACATCATCCAGGGAGTGAGAACAAGTGGTGAAGCTCTGAGTGTTACTGGGCTTTCCTGTTGAGATGCTGACCACATTCATTTTGAATTGAAAAGTGAGCTGCAATCTTAACAAAGCAGTGGTGTGAGCCCTGCTGGTGCTGAAAGCTTGAAAGGAAGACTTATCTTAAATGGTTAGTGATTCAGGGAAGCTGTCTATGAAAAAACAACTTGATTTTGACAGGAGAATGACACTCTGAAAGAAATTCAGTATTTGCAGAATCATATTGTCATTTAATTTAGGATCAACTACTGAGGAAAAGAGTAGAAAAAGACAGTATACAAAGGGCAAGTGACCTCCACATTTATCAAGAAAGTAAAATTAACATTCATAATTTGGACATATTTACATTTTTACATTTATAATTGAATAAGATTCAATTATACTGATTCTTGAAATGGATAAGGGTTTGCTCTTACACCTTGATTTTTTTTTCTCTTTCTTTCATGTTCTGCTTCTTCCCCCATTTAATCCCAAAGCATATCCTACTGGCTTTAACAACACAATATGTGCAAAATCTGACCACTGCTTCTGCTGTTACCCTTGATTTTGGTCCAAGCCACTAACGTTTCTCACTTGGGTTTTGGTCATAGCCCCGAAGACGGAAACTATTGTCTCTTGCTTCAATAGGCAGAGGCTAATATGAACCATGTAGCCCTCTAGTCTCAGATGGCCTCTGTAGTTTCTCTTAAATTTCATAGAAAAGCTGGATCCCTTACCACAGTCCACAAAGATTTACCTGATCCACCCTATTCCACAACCCACTTCCCTTCCATCCTTCAGGAACTACTACTTCCCAGGTACCTCATGGTTCGCTTGGTAAATCATTTGGATAAGAGTTTCTCATTAAGGACTCCACAGACCAGATTATATG